TGCATTGAATAGGCTCCGAAACTGCTGAACCGGTTTGAAAATTTCTTTCACTGTTGGGAAGCTACATTATCCCCGGATGTCATAGGCTATACTATACTATATTTTCAAAAACTAGGGATCCTTACTAAAACTTCAATAATGTAACCCAAAGTGTACAAAAATTACCTAAAATATTATTTACATCGCATGCATGTTTCAATATCTTTATATAACTTTTGAATTATTAAATTCGGACATTCCATTCGAAAGATATCACAAGTTTAAAAATTTTAGTAAGTATATTGTAATTTAACTATCCAAACAGCTTAGTGACTGACTTAATAGTTCTTATCTTTTTTATACATAATATAAATATATTATATATAATTAATTATATTATATAATAATAATTAAAAATATTATTATTTATTAATATAAATGTCAAAGAAAAAAATACTGCATAAATAAATAATTATAATTGCATAAGTTGATAAAAGATGCTGTGCAATAGCTTTACCGCGGCAGTCCCCGAGTGCCACAGGTTTTTTTTATTTGAAACGGTGGCAAGCGAGCTGGCGGTTTACATGATGTTAAGTGATAAAAGCCGCCCATGAACATTTGCAACATCCGTAGCGTTGCAGATGCCTTGCCACATTCTAATAAAGTGGGCCCCGGCTACCTCCCTAACAGACGAAACGCAGAAGCATGACACTTCCACTTCACGCCGGCCTTGTATGAGGTCGTGCGTATGGGAGAGACCTGCACATTAATGCAACAGCGGAAGCTCTCGTCGTCAAAATTAAAAAAACATATTATTCGTTGTCTATGCCTTCGTACTTCGCCGGCTGTCTGATTCGTCTCGCGCCATATCGCGACGTTTTCCCGCGCTAATTACCGCCGCCCCGTTACGATCACGCCGGGTCCCGGCGGCGGCGGCGGTTTGCGAGCGCAATTCGCCACCCGCGACCCGCGCTTTTTACTCTGCAACCGGCTATTGTGCACGCTAATCTGGCCTCATGTGCCACGGAACAGACATTTAATGAGAATAGTATTCCACACTTAAAAATGCCGACTGGGGCAACTTTAAAGTTTACATTAACCTAGTACGAGGCCTGTTTGATAAGTCCTTTCAAAAACTATTTATAAAACCTTTTTCTGATAAATGGCATTGACACTGGCAGGCACAATCTTTCAAATGAAGACTGTCAAAAATTCAGCAAAAAAAAAACAATTGTCAGTTTAACCATTGTTTAACTGTGATCACTCGTAAATTTTCAATAAGTGAGGAAGTTATTAAACATTTTTTCTGAAGGGTTGCTGTGCTGCCACAATAAAAACTACACTTGATTCTGTTCATGGTACTAAAGCACCAGCGTTTCAGACTGTTTGTAACTGGATAAATGATTTTAAACGTGGTCGGTCAAGCATATCTGATGCTCCACGCTCTGGTCGTCCAATCGCAGTCACTACTGAAGATGTTCATATATGTACTCGACGAACGCCGAGTGAAGGTGCGTAATATAACTTGGGTCCATCTTTATACACCTACATCAAAACAGCAAACAAAACAATGGATGGCGACTGGTGAACGTGCCCCAAAGAAGGCCAAGACTGTTTTGTCGGCTGGGAAGGTGATGGTGACAGTCGTCTGGGATGGCGAAGGAATCATTATGATTGATTACTTGGAAAAGGGAAAGACTATCACTGGCCGTTATTACGCTGAGTTATTGGACCGTTTTAATGCCTAATTGTATAAAAAAAAAACACCAAAATTGTCCCCCAAGAAAGTCCTCTTTCTTTCTTTGTTTAGAAGCCGGGCGTTAGTCTGTTGATCTAAGGCAAATTGTAAAAAAACATATTTAATTGAATTTGACCTTTATTACTCTGCGATAAATATTGACAGACTATCTCAACCTCTATCAAAATCAGATCTATCTGTATATATTTGCACGTTAAACGTTCTATCTTTAGCACACTTGTACAAGTGATCGTTTTACGAAACCATAAAAAAACTTGATTAATCTGCTATCGTCGGTGTTGAATAGAAGAGAGTAAACGTTGAAGTTAACAAGAAAACGACAAATGCGATTACCGTTTCTGCCCTAAAAATGCCCTTAAAATTAATTTGGGCTGGCTTTATAAATACTTGATTTTCGGTTATGGTTGTTTTTATAAACACATGTGAGGTGAATTGCATTTATGAACGTTTGATTTTTGGTTATGGTTCACAATTAATTAAGATTGAGATTTATAATTTTATCATCATTATGATCATCATCATTTCCTGCCTGTTTGAATCAACTGCTGAACATAGGCCTCCCCCACCCCCACTTACCGCCACGAAGCACAATCCTGAGCCATTTTCATCGCCATCTGGTGTGGTCACTCTATCTAGCGGGGGTCGATCTACACAACGATGGCCAATAGAAGACTGCCACTCGAGAACTTCTCCTCCCCATCGGTTATCGGTTCCTCGAACTATATTTCTGGGCCATTACCACTTCAGCTTACTAAGCCTCTGAGCTATATCTGTTACTTTTGATCTAATGCGGACGTCTTCAATACGAACTCTGTCACGCAGAGAAATACCGATCATAGCCCGCTCCATAGCTCGCTGAGCGACTTTAAGCTTCCTCATACGGCCAGCAGTGAAGGACTACCTCTCGTCACTGGCAACACATTGGTTGAAGACTTTAGTCTTTAAACATTGAGGTATATTCGACGAGAAAATTTGCCGAAGTTTCCCGAACGCTGCCCATAGTAAATATTTTATTTGAATAAATTTAATATTTTATATTTGTCAGCGTTTACACTACTATTTTGTATTCATTCGTAACTGCTATGGAGTATTTTCTTAATATAAAGAAAGTATCCATGAAATGGTACCGAATTTCTACTTTTGAAAGAAAGCATAAGTTAAAAACATACATCAGAAACTACTTTTTACGGTTCCGTATGTCAAAAGGTAAAAAAGGTACCCTTATAAGATCACTCCCTTGTCCATCTATACGTGTGTCACCACCGATTTTCTGTGACGGGTGAACCTAGCAAGTTGAAATTCATACCAGATACTGAGGTCCATAGACCCTAACAGGTGTATAAAAATCAAATATATAATACAGTAATAAAGTAATCAATATAATACAGGCAAATTTGAATTTTAACGAGAACTTGGTAAGTACTAAAATATACCTTAATTTTCAACTCTTTACATTTTTGAATTTTTCCTTTATTTGTGCTGTAAGAGCTTGCTTTTTGCCAAATTTCGTGATTATAGGTCAACAGGAACTACCATATAGGTTTTCGACCCAAAAGTGTCCACATATACAGGGAGGCTTTTCTAAGTGTATCCATTTTTTTAATTAAATTCTAGACATAAATAATGTTATATAAAAATGATAAATATTTAAAAACACCCGTAATTAACATTAATTACATTCATTAAAATTCATTTGAACTTATCTCAAAAAGTGCGTGATTTATGGGCAAGTCATTTATTTTACGCGCGATCATTCATAACACGCACTAACACGCACACAAGTTCGTTTCAAAAGTATACGACGCATTTATGAATGACTACCGCATTGTCAACAAGTTTTGCTTTTTTAGGGAATACAATTGCAAGTTTTTGGAAAAAAAAAGTTTGTTATTATTTCAATAAACGATTATATACCGACTCCGAACCTCCTGTGTGAATTTTGGCACCTTTAGAAAAACCATCCTGTATACGTAATGTCAAGTTTTTCTATCATCCACGCCCTGTACAACCATATGTTAGCAACTCAACCATTACAGCACACACACGCACGCACGCACGCACGAACGAGCAATTAATACTTAGCCACCAATAAAATAATAAATAAATATATTTGGATTAGATTACCGAGCCGTGATAGCTCAGTGTCCGGGCGCTCGCCTTTAATTCAATATACTCGAGCAACCTGAGTTCGATCCCCGGTGCCGGCCCCAATGAAGTTTTTAACTTTAAGTGCTGACTTATCACGTGCTCCGCGGTAAAGAAAAGAATCGTAAGAATTTTCGAAATAATAACAAAAATCCGCCAATCCGCAGTGGGACCACGTGGTGGACTATGCCCTGATACCCTCTATATAGAGGAGGCCTTTGCCCAGCAGTGGGACATGTATAGGCTGTTACTTTACTTTTATATTTGGATTTATGTTTGGCAATGATCAAACCGTAATTTGTTTTGTCAACTAAAATAATATTATATCAAACAGAACTTAATTAAGACTTAACATGAGTGATACCAACATACTAGATCAGGGGTGAGCAACCTTTTTAATCAATGGGCCAATTTAAATTTCAAATTTTTTGGCGGGCCGCACATAATAATTTTAACTTTACTTATAATAAATATTACAATAAAAAATATAAAATTATAAAAAGTAAAGATTTCATGTACAAATTTTTAAAACTGGGATAAAACGACATTTTCTAAAAACGAAAACAATTTTTTTTACATTTACATTAACATTTTTTTACATAGAGACTTGAACTACTTCTTTTTCAATTATGAAACAGTGAAGGAATCATAATAATTTCTTGTATTTACGCGATTACACATTACCGCCGCCGGCGGTCTTTCCGAACCGTTACGACCTGGGAACCTTCAAGAAGAGAGCGTACTCATTCCTAAAAGGCCGGCAACGCATTTGTAAGCCCTCGGGTGTTGCAGATGTCCATGGGCGGGGGTGGTCACTTACCCGCAGGTGAGCCTCCTGCTCGTTTGCTGCTTTTTTCCCCATAAAAAAAAAAAAAAAAAAAAAAACTAATTTTACGGATTTATCGCGTTTATTTTTAATTTTAGTTCCCGACGTTTCGAACCCTTTACAGCGTTCATGGTCACGGGACAGACAGTCTGTCCCGTGACCATGAACGCATAAACGAAAAATAAACGCGATAAGTCCGTTAAATTAGGTTCATTTATAGTGAAGGAATCAGTAAATTAAAGTAGAGGTAAAGAAAAAAATTAAACAGCAAGAATTTTATTCACACATCTATTGACCCTTATTCTTACGCTTTAATTTTATAATGCTAGTTGAATTATCATTGAGTTGTTGGAAGAATGCCTTAGATGTCTTTAGCGACTTGTCAGTGGCCTCAGTGGCTTTCTTTGTATTCCTCTGTTCTGTAACCTTTGTCATATTACCCTTAAGCCTTTGCAGCTTCTTTTTCTTTCTCCTTTCGCGTTTTTTATCTGTTTGTGTTCTCTCTTCCTTGCTTAACAACTCTCCTCTGCGTTTCTTCTTAACCTCCTCTGGTGCCAGCAAAGCAGCATCACTAGTGGCAACAGGAGCAACTTCTTCCATAGAAATGGCAGGAGTATTGCTGACAATTTTAACTTCTGCTTGCGGAGGTTTAGGAGTGTAATGATAATGACATAGGGCATCAAGCTTTGAGAAAAGTTGACTCATAGCATTTCTTAATTCTGTATGAGCCTCTGGTTCTTTCTCATCTTCATTGTCACCAGTTAATGCTTGCTTCTGTTTCAAATACTCGGCTTCATAAACTTGGGCCAAACTTAATTTACTCTTTGAATGATCTAACACTTCTGGTTTACGGAAAGCAAGTTGATCATCCACTGGTTTTTCTTTTTTCACAACATCATCCCATGCTTTGTCCTTGACTCTACGCATAATTATATCTTCTAATGTGTATGTTGTCTGCTCTGTTATGATTGGCGGTGGCCGAGTGGTCAAATCAAAGTCAACAACTTCTTGTAGCAATGAGTTTTGCGGTCTGGTGGATGCATCTACTTCCCCTTTCAATTGCCATGGTGCTTCCTTTAAAGTTTTTTCTTCTAGTTTAGATATTTGTTGCTTCAATCGCTCCTGCCTTTTTTCAAATTCGGATTTTTTCTCTTCATCATTGAATTTATTTTTTAATTCATCAACTTCTTCACTAACAGCATCATCCCCAGAATCACTTTCCAGTTCATCTTGTGCCGCAAACCTGACTTTTTTATCACTTTTGTTAGGTTTCTCTACTGTCTCTTTTTCCGAACTATTTTCATCTGTTTCTTCGTTATCATCATCAGCATCACCATTGAAAAAGTCTGAGTACATCATGTCCTTTTCATTACTTTCCTCATCAGCTGATACCACATCATCAATATCCTCAAACATGTCTATAGATTCTTCATCACTGTCTTCCTTTTTCTTAATATCACTCTTTTCCTCCTTTAACAAAAATTTTTCCATATCCTTTAATTTAAAAAAATCGTCATCTACAATGGATCCCTTTACCTTTGTTTTTTTTGTATTTTTCTTTTGTTTCTTTGTAACATCTATATGTTTTTTGGGATGCACATCATCATCTGAAGTTGACTGATCTTTTCTAGATTTCTCATCATCCGACTGTGAGTGATTTTCACCATCCATAGATTCGTCCTCTTTTTCTTCTGGGAAAGTAACAGGAAATATAAGGTCATTTTTTTCTGTCATACAATTTGCTACTTCCCATACAAGTTGATCCCACGATTGTGAATTCTGAAGTTCAACTTGTTGCCAAATTTGTTCCTCGTCAAAATCATCGACGAGCAGATGAGATAAAGCACCTTTTTTTTCCTTGCTTTCGCTCTGCTCCTGAGATTTTGTAAAATCGTACAGAGTTTTTATTAAATTCTTAATATCACCTTTAATATCATCCTGCACTGTTAAATACTTGACAGGCTTGTCGGTGAGAACATTGAATTTGTTAATCATCTCCTCCATTTCTAAGGTTCCCATCTTCTGCTTCTGTTAATATTATTCAAAGTAATACGAGATTTTAAAAAAATAATCGCGGTACACGCGGTTACATTTGTTTGACAAATTGAATGACAGCATGACCATAGACAATATTTATGACAGCCCAAAACATGTGTCTTTGACCTATTTCATTTATTCAAATCAGGCAGGAAAATATTTTTTTTCATAAAATTTTTGTAAATATTTTGTTTCTTATAATAAATATTATTGTCTAAATATTATGTAATATACCTAGTGACATAGTGACAAGAACGCTAGCTGCATTTCCTCGTTAAATAGTTATGGTTAGCCTTTGAGGGCTGCATTTCCTCGTTAAATAGTTATGGTTAGCCTTTGAGGGAGAAAAGAACCAGCTCTCTTGTCATCAGCCGCATCTTTAATTCTAGAAGTACCTACGTAAAAATTTCGATGTACGGGGGCCCCATGGACCAAAAGTTTCAACAGGAAATGGCTCATATTTGCGTCACGTACTTCAGCTGCCTCTAATGCCGCTTCGGCCTTGACCTAGGTACACCTTAGAGGCATCTGTGAGGCAGCCAAATTGTCTACACAAGTAGCATCCCAAACGAGGGCTTTGCCTCTCTTCGAAGGAATTAGAGTCAAGTATGTGGTGTCAACCAAGAGCAAATTGGTTGACACCACATACGCATTGATATGGTTGACAAATCGATGCCCCCCGCCAGACAGATTCCTACAGCAATGCATAAGCTTTCATCGTCAATTATTGGGCACTATACTTGACGATGAAAGCTTATGCATTAAGTTACGTGACGGTAAAGCGTGAAGCCAATAACTTGAAGCAATGAAGGTAAGTAGAGCAACACTAGACATTTTCCTTACACCAATACCACCAAAACGAATTGGTACCGTAGCTTGAGTCCAGCTTAAATCATTAAGAGATAAATTTATAATTTTTTTCTAAAGCTGATTTAAGATGAAAATCAATTTCCCTCAAAAAGTCACTGCGTTTGGGGAAAACTGGAATCGAGCTTACCACCGCGCAAATTTAAGTACAAGAATACAATATCACAAAATAGTAAGCGCAATATACGAATTTAGTAAAAACAATTTGTTAACAGGATGTAAAAATTAATTTAACTAATATTTTTTTTTTATACTGATAATCTCTGCAATTAAGAAACATTAAATTTGTCGCCGCTGTGGGAATCGAACCCACGTCTTCGGGATTTGCGCCCTAACGATGGATGTGCCGAGCATTGCTTCAAATGCTAAAAAATAATGTAGATAAGAGACGTTAAGGCTTTTTTCGGTGTGGCAATAAGCCGTTAAACTTAGTGGCTAAAGCGTCAGGGCGCGAATCCTGTAGACGTGTATTCGATTTCCACAGCGGCAACAAACTTTTCGTACTTTTTTATACAAATTTTAATGGACTAGGTTTATTAGTTCATAGATAATTTGAGATAGATTTAAGCCCGGTTTCTGAAACATTAATCATCGTAGAAGTCAACTAATCAGTATGTAACTGATATAAACTTAACTTAACTTCTTAAACTAACCGAATTGACCAAAATGATCTTCTTGATCCATCATTTACAATCATTCTGATCATTAATCAGAATGAATGTAAATGTTGGATAAATAACTTGTATATATACTTGACTAAATAATTTTACTAAAATGTTTATAACATTTTATATTTCAGTTTTTCCAAGATTGAAGGATGTAGTTTACTTATCTTTTTCCCTATGGTTGGCTCACTTTTTTTAGTGTGTTTTATTTTGTCAAAGTTAGTATCCATATAGTATATATATTCTCCGGGTAGAGCTCTCAATTTCTCATTTCTATAGTAAAAAAATAAAGCCTGGGCTTTACTCAGTGTTGCCAACTTAGGGCTTTTAGCCCCAAATCTAAGGCGAAAATATGCTTAATTTTTTTTTTTGGGCCAAAAAAGTTTAGGGAAATTTTTAGAGCCATGAATATTATCTTAAACATCACTATTGTGACTAACCAAAATGAGAAAAAAAAGCAAAATGCCTATTAATAAATATAATTAATTAAATTTTTGTTAATATTGGTAGTTTTGTTAATTGTATCAACTATTTGTAATGAAAAGTAATTAAAAGTAAGTTACATTTATTTACCATAACATAATTTGAAACTCATTTAAACAATATCTTTGATACATAATACAGGGATTTTTTGGTGATTTTTAAACGGTTTTACTTAGCTCGACCCGTACGGAATTTGTCTGTTTATTTATTTGTGTTAAAATTAGAAATTGAAATTTAAGCACCTTGCCGTTGTCAGATTGATCTGAAATTTGGTACACACATTTAATTTAGATGACAATACAATATTAACGAAAAAAAATTACATAAAATAAAACCGTTTAACTTAAAAGTTTTTTAAAGTAATTATTAAATTGTATTTTTTAGGGCTATGGGCTATTTCATCTTGATTTTAAGGCCAGTTTTTAATATTATTTGGCAACACTGGCTTTACTGTACCATAAATAACCATTTGTCATTTTTCAGTCCTTCCATGACTCCAATTTCTAGGCATATCATCATAATAATCTGTGATGCATTTATCATCCAGTATATATGTCTTATCTATGATACCATCTTAGTAGTCTGTGGTAGGTAGTCTGTGGGTCATCCATTAAACAAATTGGCCATGTACCCGTGTTTATTTTTGTAATTGTACGTGTTTAAAACAGTCCTCAATTAATAAACTTAGCAGAAACTATGATTTTTCAATGGTTTAAATAAGTGAAATAAACAGTGCCAATAAACAATTTATTTTGATACTCATATTAATACGTCAAAACTACCGAGGTAAAGTAACTGTTTTGTGTAGTTGAAAAAATTGTTCCGATAGACATCTCCAATTTTCCACACCAATGATCTCAGGTGTGTTCTGATATCTTTCTTAACTTATTAATCTGAATATTCCGCCCACGTTAATATACTGGTTTTCTAAATGCCATGGATATTTTTCATGGCGACGTAAAAGTGAAAGGCAAAGAATTCATCTTATCATCTTTCCCTTCAGTTTTGCGAACATTTTTCAAATTAATTTTAATCTACATCTACCGATCTCGACTATGTAAATTTATTTTTTATGCAACAATATTCCTTGATTTTATTTGTTGAAAATATAAGGAAGATCTTTTCCTACAAAGGTAGTTAAATATCGGGAGATAGAACTCAGTGGCAAAATGTAACCTGTTACTGTTAATGATTAAGTATCTTTTCATGTTCTTTTGAATAATAAAACGACTGCTTGTAGTAATAGATCACAGAATGTTTTTGGCAACATATGACGTTTTGCTTTGTAGAAAACATGGAAGCTCAAGATCAGATGGAGTTAAAATACAGTGCAAGTGGTGAGGTGGGTGGCCTGGAGCTATGCATTGTGTGTGGTGACAGGGCTTCTGGTAGACATTATGGTGCTATTAGTTGTGAAGGTGAGATCTTTTGTATTTAATACATCCGTTTTATGTCAAAGTAGACATGGCAACCTATGCCGACATTGGGACAAATATTCATGTAATCTGACGTCAATTTTTACATAGATCAGCAACTTAATTGCTGGCAGGTGCCCTTTTCAAATCAGGGCATTCTACATGTTTTAATTTGGGAATTTGACTTAAGAACTACAAAAGCATTTTATATTTTATTGAAACATTTTTGTCTTGTCTTGGTATGAAGAAACAAATATACTTAAATTATTTTTTATTAAACTTAATTTAAATATGTTTTAAAACATAAGTCTTACTGACAAACAATTTAATGACCAGCATTGTTCTGTCTATAAGTTAGCTACTGCACCAACACAGTTATGAAATTCCCTAAATACTTTACTTTTACTGTATATAATATAATTGGCCGTATTTATTCAGACAAATGAGTCTAAACTTTTTTCAAAATTATGTTACAAAATTGCTGTTAACAAAACTCATGTGTTGTCTTTAAGGTTGTAAAGGCTTCTTCAAGCGCTCAATACGCAAAAAATTAGGCTATCAATGCCGTGGAAGTATGAATTGCGAAGTAACGAAACATCACCGGAACAGGTGTCAATACTGCAGGTTGCAGAAATGCCTTGCATGTGGCATGCGGAGTGACTGTGAGTACCAACTAATTGAACTATTGAAACAAAAGTTAGTTTAAACATAATAGAAAGCAACACAAAGTCAATTGTAGACAAAAACTGTTTTTTTTTCTTTTTACTGAAAAATACTAGGTTATTAGGTTGGTAATTGGTTGGTAATGATATTACGTTAGAAAAAGAAAAGTCATTGAAATTTCATATTCTGGTTTTTCTCATTATATTCCATAAATGTTACCGGATAGTAATAATTAATTCCATTCAGAATCTCTGTGCAAGAAGACCAAGCTGTTACAAAATTGTAAGCTACAATTGGTTCTGTTGCTATGTCTGCCCTGAAAAATGTTTGGGTATCTGATAAGATAGGATAAATAAAGTCTTATGGGCAGTAATTCTTGCACTATATCGACAGCGGTCCAACATGAGAGGAAGCCGATAGTGGACAAAGCAAAGGGGGAGCCAAGAGATGCAACCATGCATGAAAGACCAGGAGCCGTCTATTCAAAGTTGCTGGGTTTGGCAGGACAGGCGCAGGCTGCACAGGTATGCTTATGACCTGCACCAATTTTATTTGTGGTTGAGCCATGCAACTGTTGCATGAGTGGCTTGGCTTGTTCGCGGAAATTTCACAGCCATTCTGTGAAGTGAAACTATAATACTTTTGCATTTCATTTGGTGAGTGAGGTAGCCTGGGCCCACTTTTATAAAGATTGACAAAATATCTACAACCATTCTGGTGTTACAGATTTCTATGGGCGGCGCTAATCACTTAACAACAACACTGTTGGGGCTATTTTACGTTTCAAATATTGTGAAATATTATTATAAAATTATTTTTGACTACCACCTTTAGAAGCGTCCTTGCTTATTGGCCTTTACCTGCATGAATAATTTATCATAACCCCATTCCCTTGCCTTGATTATAACTGTTTTTAAAAATATATACACACAGTTGTAATTAACCACTGGTAATATTGTCTTTGGAACTCTCCACAGATCAATCCAAAAGAGGAGCCCACCGATGCCTTCAGTGCCGTTTCGCCTTCCGCCCCTGCCTTGAACTTTGCATTAGCTGCAGCGGTTGCCTTCAACAAAGGCAACCCAGTCTCCCCGTACCTCAATCCTGGCGGCCAGGGCGATATCGAGGGCGCCAGGAGACAACAGCTGATGCTGCAAACGCAGCTGGCGAAGAACCTCTTCAAAATGGGCCAATTTGGTAAGGGGGATACTAATGATTCAAATTCAAATATCTTTATTCAATATAAAAGCATTACACTTACTTATTGATTGTCAAAAAACACTACTACCGGTAGAAGAACTGATGAAAGGAATACACATCAAAACTTAATTACAAGATTGTGCACGAATAGTCGTTATAAATGTTGCAATATTATTGGTTGAAGGAAACTAATGCGCCTGAGTAAATTTGGCAATGAACATGTATCATTAAGTATTGAAATATATTTTTTTCCCTCCTATGATTCCACTGATACATGAGTAATTTCGCCAATAACTCAGGACTTTGAGATTAACTTTATGAGGTTATATGCTTCATGAGGAATATTTATATATATACTTGCCTAAACTAATTTCAGTTGCATACCCGTAAATAATGGAACAAAACACATTAGAAACACCCATTATTATTTTTTATAAGGGACTGCCTAGTAATTAACTGTTATCCCACCTGATGATACGTAGCGATGCAGCTGTAGATTGTAAACAGACTAATTCAATAAAATCCTATTCACTCTCGCCTTGAACCCACGTTATATTCTGACGGACAGACAGACGCCGAGAAGTTCCATTCCATTATTCCATTCCTTGCATTATGAATGACATATCAAAACGCTTAGTTCGAGTGTGTGGAATGTCAAAAAGATGGAACCGTTGCGAATGTCTAGTACAGTGATTCTCAACCTTTTTTTTTGTTGCGGCACATATTAAACGATTTCAAAATTTGGCGGCACACAAAGAAAAAGATAAAAATTATTTACTTACTACAACACACTCCATAAATAGTTTATGACAAAAATTTTAAATATACGAAATAAACTAATATATACTACAATAATAACTAAACGTTTATTAAGGGATTAATTACAGTTACATAATAAAAATATTTTTAATGCGAAATTTGAGCTTGATGTTTTTTGATAATTTCATTTATATTTGGTCGTAAAAATGACAATATGCTACTCTCATATCGTCTTCTACATTTAACAATCTTGATCTTTTTTTTAGTTTTAATGTTGGCTAATGCCAAAAAATATTTTTCTTTTTAAATGATATAATTTAATAATATTAACATTATTATATATTTGCAAAATTTGGCGGCACACTTTTGAAATTTGGCGGCACACAAAAGTGCCGCGCCACAGTGGTTGAGAATCACTGGTCTAGTAGATCGAGTTCTAGCCTAGTTACTGTTGAAGACGCAGGTTCGTATGCCGCAGTGTGTTCGCATTTCCCTACAAAAATTTATAATTTAAAACTTGTTGAAAATTTTGTTCATTCTGATGTGTTATTTGTTTATCTTGATAGCTTTATTTGTTTATATTAATAGCTTATTTGTTTATCTCAGGCGTTATTATATTTATATGAGCCGTGATAGCTCGGTGTCCGGTGTAAGCTCGCCTTTAATTCAATATACTCGAGCAACCTGAGTTCGATCCCCGGTGCCGGCACCAATGAAGTTTTTAACTTTAAGTGCTGACTTGTCACGTGCTCCGCTGTGAAGGAAAACATCATGAGGAAACCTGCATATTTTCGAAAGAATAACAAAAAAATTTCGAAGATATGTGAAGTCCGCCAATTCGCAGTGAGGTCGCGTGGTGGACTATGCCCTGATACCCTCCTGCCCTGAGGCCTGTGCCCAGCAGTGGGACATGTATAGGCTGTTACTTTACTTTACTTTTTTGTTTATTTTGTACCAAAGGTGCGATAAACGAGTACCTGCAGTCAGCGTACGGTGCCTCCCCACCAGAGGTCCCCTTGCCAGGATTGCACGCAGCTGACACGCAACAGTCTGAAGGTATGATAACTTCAAAAGTTGATAAACGGTCAGAGGATCCACCTGATGTTAAATAATGACCAAGGCCCGTGGACATCAACAACCCTTGAAGTGTTGCTTGCATATTATGTTTCTAACCTTTGGAAAATATGGAAAACAACGAAATCATCACGAAACCAAAGCTACATTATCCCGGCTGGAGTAACACAGTTACTTAATAACAACTTACCTAAATAAAATCATGATTTTCTGTTACAACTTTTAATATTTCTAGACTAATTGACATGCAGTATAGTTTACAGAAAAAAAAATTAAACTATTCCACTAACGATGACTTCGTGGCGCAGTGGCCAAGGTATTGGCCTCGGCTTCGGTGGTCTTGGGTTCGATTCCCACACGAAACAACTATTTGTTATTGTCCGCGTGAAATTTTTGTTTGTAAAAAGTCCTTACTACATAGGATAATGTTATCCTAAAGTAAGGGCAATGTTTATAAAAATATCAAATATTCGTTAGTCAAAATCAAAAGCATTATCATTTATCACTTTATAACACTTCCTCATGCTGGTTTTCCTTGAGGTTGTGGTACTTACCCCATTGTACCTGCCCATTCGTGCAGCAAAGAAGACTGTTGCGTGACCTTACCACAATCGTTTAATCAAAACCGTAATTCCTCCTTCAGGCACGGATGCCAACTTGGGAGTTTTCTTCCAAAATTTAGGAATTAATCCTGAAAAACGTTTTTACGAGGTAAATTCAAACCAAAACTTCATAAATGTTTCTGGGAATTTAGGGGTTTTTAGTGGGTTTCTGAAATGCTTTAGCAGTATTATTGCCGTCAGGTTCGGAAGCCGGAATCCTCAGCACGGCGGAGTCGCAGCGGCTGGCGCTGAGCCTGCCGACGGGCGCTCCGCCCCCCCTGCGATTACACGCAGCCTGCGAGGCGGGCGCCCGCTTGCTGCACGCGCTCGCTCGCTGGACCCTCGCGATACCAGTCGCCGCAGCGCTGCCGTACGTCCATCTCCCACGCTCACATATTCCTCTCCCACTCACCTCACCGTGTCTCGCCTGCAAATCACACACGGACACGCTGCAGTCTACTGTTGCATGAATCTCCCTCACTCAAATAGTCCTCTCCCTCGTGTTCACCGTGTCTTACCCGTGCACATACGGACTCGCCATGCTGGGTCCACGCAACGGTCTTCTCTGTTGCACGAATGGGCAGGTCCGTCCGGGGAAGTGCCACGAGCTCACAGAAGATCAGCGTGAAGCGGAAGCGTCATTATACTGCTGCGTTTCTTCTGGTGAGTGAGGTGAAAGGTGCCAACGGATCCGCAACACTGCGCGCGTTACGGATGTCCAAAAGCGGTGGTTACCACGGAGATGGACTACGTGGAGACTTACCACGTGGAGATGTATCGCCAGCTCTTTTGTCGCCTTCACATAAAAAAAACAATTTTCCCACTACGCCGATAAGGTAAAGAGCAGATACGACTCCTCAGGTTCGAGGTCCAGGTGACGCTGCTGAGGAAGTGCTGGCCGGAGCTGTTCGCTCTGGGGCTGGCGAGGTGCTCGCAGCAGCTGCAGCTCGCCGCTCTGCTGCCCCACCTGGCGGCGCACCTGCACCGCGAGCTGCGCGCCAGGAGGGACCCGCACGCGCGCGCTCACAACGCGACCCCCGCACGCGATGGGCGCACCCCTGAGGTCAGAGGTGTTCACTCATCGGTGGCTTAAAGGCCTTGTTACCAGTCCATAAAATCTTTATTAAAAAAAATTTATTCACTTATCGGTGTTCTGTTTGTAAGTCTGGATTAATACAACACACAGTGTGTAGTGGCCTCTGCTCACTGTTTACAATGCGACAGTTTTCAAATCTGGATTAATACATTAGTCCGAGGTGGGTGCTGACTATTAACAATGCAACCATCGCACGCGATGGCGCTCCCCTGAAGTCATATGTTCACTAATCGATGCGACAAGCTACAGGGATCAGTTTCTGGACCTGAAACTAGAAAGTTGTTCCTTGTTTGATGCTTTAACTTTCATAATTAATAAATAATGGAAAGGGCCTATTATACTGTTGAAGAATACATTAAGGACAAGTGTACTCTAGTGCACAGGTGGTATTTTTTGACATTCAATAAGACCATAAAATAAGCCTGTTTACAACTGCCGCCCATCGACATTTTCTATACCCGTCGGGTTGCAGATGCATTGCTACCATTTAATGAAGTGGGCCCCGGATACCTCACTCACCAGATGTAAACGCAGAGGTGTAACGCTTCCACTTCACGCCGAATCGATCTGTCCATTTGTATAATAGCAAAGACTGTAGTTTGGCCCTACCACTGTTGACTTGTTTGACTTGTCAAAGTTTTCAATCGTTATTTTGAATTATTCATAGAGTGTGTCCATTCCAGATAACAATAGCTGACTACTCAGATGAGCGCATATCCGAAGTCAGCACTATGCTGTCTCGCTTGCACCAGTTCATCATGAGCATGGAACAGCTGCGAGTGAGCGAGAGGGAGCATGCCCACCTAAGGGCACTGTGCCTGTTCTCACCAGGTGACTGAATAGTGCATATTTTGCTAAGTTTTTCCATAAACTAAATCGTTTTCAACAAACACAAATGTTCTAATATATTGGATATTCGGAAACACATGTTATGTTTGAAAAAAATAATCTTCATTGTGAAAGGGCATTATGCTTTTATGGATTTTTTTTCAAGAACATTGCCTTTACTGTAGAGTAAAATTATCCTGTGTTGTAAGAACGAATAGAACTCACGCCCCCGTCAAAGTTTAATGTTATGGATCCTTGTGCCATGCCTTACCACATTGATTAATTAATTTTATCTATATTGCTTAATTTCAATTAACTTTTAGACGGCGTACCGGATTTCCTTACACGCAAGCTGCAAGACTATCAAGCTAAAGTACTCCGCTCCCTCCGCAATATATGCCAACCGGATGACGACAGGGCTGCCATGCTGCTACTACAGCTGCCGGTCCTCAGAAACTTCACGGGAACCTTCATAGAGGATGTCTTCTTTGTCGGTTTCGTTGGCGATGTCTCCATCGACGAGGTGATACCTTACTTGTTGAACGCCGAACGCTAGAACACATCACCGGGGGCAGACTGGGAAGTAACAGAAACCACAAGTGCTAGGGAACTACATTGTGGTTTTTAAATCGGTGTGTATTATGGATGGCTACGATCATGAGAAGTCCAAACTGTGTACCTACTTAAGGATTTTTGTCAATTAACATGACTAGTATCTTGAATACCCCCTCACCCTACTGTTTCACAAACAAATCTACTAAAGCGTAACTCAAATGCCCACTAAACTATTCACAATGTGTCTTATATATACATTATACAGAATAATTGGCTCTTCTGTTGGCATTTTTTATGTTAATTATTAGTTACATAATGATGAGCAGATGTAGAAACTGGAGTATTGCCGATCTTATGTTCATTCCCATCTAATATTTGGATTTTGCAACAGGCACTTCCTCTGTATCTAGATTTATACTGCATCTGCACTGACAATGCTTTTAAACTATCATTTGATGAGGATGCGGATGTGGTGGTATTTTGATGGGCAAAAAAAAATTGTTTCATTTTACTATTATTAAGTTAGCAGACAGTTTGTTGCACTTTTTTCGAAAGTATCCACATTTAAAAAAATTTCAGAGCTACATTGAAGTACAATACAGAAATATTTTGCGGTACTTGTTGAAATTTTTTTGACACAGCCCATTTTGTTGACCATACGGGAATTGTGATAGATACACGAAACAATATGATATAAGCTATAATTTTTACTCAAATCTCCTATGAAACAAAGGCTTCCAATAATAATTGTTGCAGCTTTAAATAGCTATCAAATCAATAGTTGATATTGTATTAAGTGTTGAATAATCTATATTGTATTAAGTGTCGAAAGGATGATAACCTATCTAAGGGTAGGTACCTATGGAGAAAACCTGTTGCAGCTTTCTCGGAATGTACTGCTTTAAATTCTTTAAAGATTTTGATATAAACCGTCCATTATAATAATTTATTGTAAGTAAAAGTAAAAATTATGTAGAAAGCATCAAGGCGGGAGTGAAGAGGCTATTACGTAGCTATATCATGTATAGACGGCTTGATCACACTAATTAATAATTGTAAATGTGCTCAATTTGGGTGAATGATTTGCTATGAATATTTCTTCATAACTATCCCCCCACCCAACGAGATGAAGATGAAGAATTTTGCCTTTTGTTTTTTATTTTTTTATTTTTAAGTACATAAAAAAAATATTTTTTTCACAGGATCAGAGTTCTTGGGAATACTGAGTGTAATGTCTAATTACAATTGTGTATATGTTGGATATTACATTTCTAGAATGATTCGGAAAAAGGTATAAAAGTTTTTTGGTTACCCGTACATGTCAAACCAATATTTATACCCAAATTACCAATGTTAATGATAGTTTTTACATTGGTGATTTGAGTGTAAATTTTGTTTTGTCAACGTATATTTGAAATATGTGAGCCTTATGGCAATACTTCATAATGTTATTCTACAACAATTAGGAATTAAAGGTATTGTGGTAAGGAAATTTGGACATGTTATATCACATTGTGTTCCACTACGTTTTAAGCACATAGGTTGTATAAGCTTTTTTGACATAAGACAAAATAATTACTTAGTATTAACATGCACATAAATTTAATAAAATGGAGCAATGGTTCTAATATTGTTATATAATGTATTTTTCGATAAATTTACTTATTAAGTGCCTTAATAACTGAAATAAACATATAAAATTTTATAACTTTTATTTAATAACAGCCATTACCATATGCATTGTAGAACCTCATCAAATCTATTTTTTGCTATTTTAGTATAAATAAAATAAGAATACCGCATTAAACGCATGTACCACACAATTGAAGCCCATTTCAGATATACAAAAGTACTCTTTGGGTAAGGATGAGCAACGCGCGGCCCGTTAAACATGATTATGCGGCCCGCCAAGCATTGAATTTATTTTATCGAAATTCTCCCATCAATATAGTGTTATAAAATTCATTATAATAAAATGGTAGTACATACTGAACCGAAATATGTTTTGTTCGTTTTTCTATTCTTTTCTTGTTTGTTTTTACCTTGCATTAAAATTTGTATATGAAATCTTTACTTTTTTATATTTTTTTATTCTAATATTTATTATAAATAAAGTTTCGTAAATTATTATGTGCGGCCCGCCAAAAAAAATTTAAATTTAAATTGGCCCATTGATTAAAAAGGTTGCTCACCCCTGGTGTAAGGAATTATTTCTAGTGTCGCTCTACCTGCCTTCCTTGCTTCTGTACATAGCGTAAATAATTTATGTAATAATATCCTAAATCACAATTCGGAACTTTCCTATGCCGAGGAGCCAAGGATGTCTAGCTGTCTATCTCAATGAAAATATTCCAATGGACGTAAACCAACAAAAGCAGAACAGTGGGATGATGTTTCTTTGCTGCAGAGTACAGAAAACTATGTTTCCATCTTTAGATAGTAATTAGAGCGTGCTCGTTTTCTAGGCATCCCATCTAAACAATCGAGTTATTGGCTTCACGATAATTTGGGCACATTACTTGACAATGAAAGCCTTACTCATTGCTGTAGGAATCCGACATCATCCGTAGGGCTCTTGTTCCATCAAAGTTCCTTCTATTTTAGAACCCTGCGGCATTATCCGCGACGATGGTAAGAGATCCGACAGCTTGGCGTTGATACCTTGGGAAAGAGGCAAAGCTCTCGTTTACATTTTTTTCGTAGACACTTTGCATACCTATCTCTCATCTTTTTGCAACATCTCTCTTTGCTGTTGAAACTTTGGGCCCGTGGAGTCCCCGTAGATCAAAATTAAATTTGAAAGGTTTACGTTTTAGGCTTAACGCTGCGACCTGTAATGAGAGCTGGTTCTTCGCTAAAAGGTTAAGTATAGCTACCTAGCTAGCTGCATTTTGGAAATGCAGTTAGCGTTCTGAGCACCATGTCGTGAGGACATGGCTTATTATATAATATGTAATTAAGAAGAATGATAAATTCAAAGAAATTAACCATCCTTTTGGCAACTCAAATGACATTTGAAAAGCCATTTAACAGCTGATTACTTAACTTCTTCGATTATCAGTGTTTCAGAAACCGGGCGTTAATTAGTGTTGTAAATGTTGGATAAATAAATATTGTCTATAATTTGGCCTAAAGGTCCTTGATACCGGGCCATAAAATCCAAAAAAAGTCTATAACTATAATACCTGACATTGACGTTACAATTACATTAATAAGTGACACAGTTTTACTTCTAAGATTCATCATAATTATTTATATTTTTATTATTTTTTTATTTTCTGTTAGAGTTTAGGGTTGTTAAATAATTGTCATAATAGTAAAGTTGCGTCCGTGATTGCAAAACTGTAAGTAATTTTTTTATTATTATTATGTTGCATTGTCTTTTTAATTTAATTAATCCGAACACATTTGATGACGACTGTCCAAATGCCGGTCTATTTAACAACGAAGTATTTCAACAACCGTAAACTTGTGTATCTTATTTCTACCTATTTGAAAAATCCTTTTAACATTTGGAATTTGTTCCCTGAAAAATAATTGGTAGTAACTACATGTCTTAGAAAAATTAGCATGAAACATTAAATTACACCTGGGCGAAGTTGGGTACATGGTATATGAAAAGCACTTCATGTATTCAAATCTCAGTTGCAATTAAAAATGCTGCAGCAACTGCAGCAGGTGAATTGTACCCATTGAATTATTTGTGCACTTGACATTAGAATCAGGACATTTTGTCTCGGTATTTATATCAGGGATGATTTATCTCCGCCTTTGTGAACATGGATTAGAATAGAGGACTGAAAAACAATACCTGCCCCAATTTATTTATTTCTCTATTTACGATTCTTTTCTTTTTATTGCCAATACTAAAAAATTTAAACCTCATAGTCGACACTTCTCATTCTCATTTTTTTTGTTTTTATTAACTTAACAAGATTAAGCTTTGATCGCTTGTCCCTACCAGCTCAGTGGAGCTGGTTTTGCCAAGTTTAGATTTATCCAAACATGTTTTTTTTTGTTTTAGGAAAATCAACAGAAGCTATATCAAAAGAGAAGATCTTAAAATTTGTGTTATTGGTGCAGACACAAAAACAGTCAGAAGAGTACAAGGGCTGCAGAAAACTTCAAAATAGTATTTAAGCTTTAAAAAATTAAATATGAGTCCCAAACTTGCAATAGTCACCGGTGCTAATAAAGGCATAGGCTTTGCTATCGTTCGCGGTCTCTGCAAGCGTTTCGACGGAGTCGTTTATTTGACATCGCGCGATGAAGAACGCGGCAAAACGGCGGTGTTGGAGCTCAACAAAGAGGGCCTTAACCCGAAATACCACCAACTGGATATAACAGACTCTAAAAGCTTGGAAGTATTTCGTGATTACATCAAAGAGAAATATGGTGGAATTGATGTCTTGGTGAATAATGCTGCTATTGCATTCAAGACAAATGCGACTGAACCCGTGGCAGTGCAAGCGGCGGAAACTCTAAGAGTGAATTATTTCGCCGTGCTTGCGACTTGCGAAATTCTATTCCCACTACTCAGGAACGGTGCTAGGGTTGTTAATATCTCTAGTTCCTGCGGTCACTTGAGTAATATTCCCAGCGAGAGTTTAAGGAACCAACTCAAAGATCCTAAACTTACAATTCCCGAGCTCTCCACTTTAATGAATAAGTATATTAAAGAGGCCAAACAGGGAACACAGAGCGCTGAGTGGGGCAATTCCTCATATAATGTATCCAAAGTTGGATTGACTGCATTGACTATGATTCAGCAACGCTTGTTGAGTGATAGAGGTAAGGCCATAAGAATTTTGCACATGCTTACTTGACAAGGAGTTTTACTTACAATCTTTATACATTTTATATCCATAAGTATGCAAACATAAATATTTAATGACGTAATATGTTAATAAACATATAATATGCAACAGTATCATTACTCTTAAAGACATATTGTATTTTCATAGAGGAAACTAGGAATACCTTATATTTTTAATGCTTATTACTAACAAAATTATTATTAAGTTAATAACTCTTGTAAAAGTTATCCTAGTTATATGCCAAAGGAACACTGTATATGAATTAAATATTAATGTTGGAAATCTCAATGTTGGTGATTAATAGAATTTAATGAAGATATTAGTTTGGACAACCTATATTTCATTATTTTATTGCAGACATCAAAGTGAATGCGGTTCATCCAGGATATGTCGATACAGACATGACATCACACAAAGGTCCATTGTCAATATATGAGGGAGCAGCTGCACCACTTTTCCTTGCATTAGATGCCCCTGATACAGTCCGAGGTCAATATGTTTGGTACGACAAAAGGATTGTGAACTGGGATGGGCAGAGGCCATAAGATAACCAATTAAACATTTATGCACATTTACACACAATCTATGGTGATATTTTTAAACAAGATACTTTTTTTATTAAAAATAATTATCAGCAGCTGTTTCATTTACTTATTAAATTATTTATATTGACTTAGACGTAAATATAGAAAACTAGTTGTTCCGTACGAAATTTTCGCTCAGTACTGTAAATTTATGATCAGCCAGTGAATGGTAATATTATAATTTTTAATTATTTTATTTAAATATTTTTTAATTAAATATTTTATAATAAAGATAATATTAATTAATATTTTATAATAAGATATATCAATAAAAGTTAAATAATTTCAAAGAATAGCACTTTTCAGTTTAATTTATTAACTTTCATAGTAAAGAGATGAGTTAATTATAGGATTCTAATTCAGCAGAATGTGCGAATTACCATTAAGGCATTTTTTTAATTTGAAAATAGATCGGTAAAGATTCAATATTATTCAAAATCAACAGCAGCTAAGCTGGAGAAGTGGAAAATGCAGTACTCCTAAACCACAGTTTTTATTCAACAGACGTGTGAACGAGAGTATTATCCTGATAAAATAATTCCTCTAGTTTTCCGAAAAATGCAGTGTGTTTCTCTTTGATTTCCTCACGTACACGACTTAACTTAGTGCAATAATACGCCGAGCTTATTTATACGCCCTTTAAAAGGTATTGGTAAAACCGGCCAAGTGCGATTCGGAATCGCACACGAAGGGTTCCGTACCATTATCTATAAAACGGCAAAAAAATCATGTCTGTTGTATAGGAGCCCCACTTATATATATATATTTATTTATTCTGTTTTTTAGTAATTGTTCCTATATCAGCAAGAAGCATTTGTGAAAATTTCATTCAATTATATTACGAAAATTTCATTTAATTTTATTATAAATTATCACGGTTCATGAGACGGCCTGGCCTGGTGGCAGATTGAAAGACCGACAGACAACGGAGTCTTAGTAATAGGGTTCCGCTTTACTCTTTTGGGACGGCACCCTAAATTGAACCCACGTCTTTAATATTCGTAAGTATTGAACATAGGATAAACTTAAGTTTATAGATAGGAAAGAAAAAGTAAATATTTTAAACAAAAAATATTAAATTATGGGCTAAAATTTTTGAGTGTTAAATAAGAATATAACAAATTAATAAGTGCTATCGCGTTATACTAATTATTAGAAGGATCTTAATACGATTGACTTAACTAGTTAGATAACACTTAAGGAACTTCTTAATGTTTAATTACTAGAAATACTAGTAAATGACACAATTATACTAAGTACACGATAACGTGTGAGCCGTGATAGCTCAGTGTCCGGGCGCCCGCCTTTAATTCGATTATACTCGAGGACCCTGAGTTCGATCCCCGGTGCCGGTAACCATGAAATGATAATTTTAAGTGCCGTATTATCACATGCTCAGCGGTGAAGGAAAAGCATCGTGAGGAAACCTGCATATTTACGAAATAGTAACGAAAAGAAAAAAGAAATAAAAAGATATGTGAAGTCCGGCAATCCGCAATGGGGTCGCGTGGTGGACTATGCCCTGATACTATGTGAGGAGGCCTTTGCCCAGCAGTGGGACATGTATAGGCTGATACTTTGATACTTACACGATTACATTGGGATAAAAGACAAATACGACCAATTCGTAAAAATTGTTTCATGTAATATTATGGTATTCGAGTAGATAAAAGAAATCATCATGTTAACGCCATTGCATTATTATTTGTTAAGAGATGACAATATTCCAAAGTAAAATGTAATTTATTAAAATTTTCTAGTGGGGAATAAATATTATGTGTAAGTACTTTATTAGTAGTAGTATTACTTAAACAAATGTATGTACGGTACGTCACAAATAGCTTTATAATTATATCATTAAAATTAGTGATTGGCAACTCCGTGGTGCAGTTGCCAATCAAGGCAGCAACTTTGGCGTTGGAGGTCGCGGGTTCGATTACCAGTCCAGGACCCACACGGGACAATTATTGGCCTAGTATAATTATTTTTCTCACACATAATTGTGTTCGATGTAGGTGTTCGTCCAATTAAAATTTATGTTTGTAAAACCTCCTTTCAACGCAGGATAATTTTATTCTAGAGCTAGGGCAATAAGTGATAAAACAAAGACAATTCATAAGAAGTTACTAGACACAATTTTTTTCTTATGGCAATTGTATGTAAGTTGGCCTCTGTGACTTTTATCTCTCTCGCTCGACTGGATAAACTTCTATCATCCTTTCGTATTAGATATGCAAATGTCATTGTCATGTAATTTGTAAATCATAAATACATTGCATAACAAAGTTTTTTTTTGTAACATTTTAAGTAGTAAGAACATTTACAGTAAACGAGATCCTGACTATTTCTTGTATTTACTCGGACTAAATCCTCTTTGATTTTAAAGGCTGTGTTTTTTTGCCATTCATTTTATTATCTGTGTAATTTTGTCCATGTAAGCAACAACGAACTAACGTCCATTTTGACCCAAGCGATAGTATAATCTTATTTTTAATTTTTTATCTATTTCATATAGAGTTGTTCGCTTATCTTAACTCCTATATTGTGTCCGCGACAGTCAATTTGTAAGTACTTAAGTAGTATTTTAATTATGTTCACTTGTCTTTAATGTAGTTGATCGAAATACAATTGCTGCTGACCAATTGCCCGTCTATAACGTTTTCTTTTACCTTTCGTTTTCCACATTCCCAATCTTGTGAATACACTTTATGGTCAATGATGTTTTAATTATAGATGGTCGATTTTCTACATTGATAAAAGAATATAAGAGGATGTCACGTTAGGTCACGTGTGCTGAAGCCAAATGTTTCTCTAAAATGGCGTCGACTAAATGGCCACAACAAATAGTGTTGTTTTATTAAGTCCATATTGATATCGATATATTTATACCCATATTGATATCGATGACACGAAAAATGTTATTAACTTTGCACACCTTTCTATTAACTCTCATTTTTCACCACTAGTTGAAGGGTGGGGGGTAAAAACTTGCTATCAGCACTGTAACATAAAATAGGTTATTGTCATACATAGTTAAATAAAATAAAAAAAGACAATTAGTATATTGATTAAAATCGTTTATTCATGGCGGAATAATATTAATTTTGTTAAAATGTTGCGCTTTGATATATTTTCCGAGTGTTTTTTTCCATGAAACTAAATTAACTAAATTAATTAACTAAATGAACTAAATTATGTTTCTTCAAATCGCCAATAGTGGTTTGGAAAGTGAACACCTTCTGCTTCAGTTTGCGGCACTTCTGACTGAGTATCTTTATTTTCCTTTGCTGTAACTTCACTGGTCTGCATAACTTTTGGACTTTTTTGGTTCATTAACTACCATAGCCTAAAAAGTAACGTGAAATTACAATGAACATTTTTGAGGTTAGGGAGATAATTAACAGGGGAGATTCGTGCTCTGCAGTCGAACATACATAGGGTTGATTGCTATTAAATTTCATCAAAATATATACTGAAATTAACTTATTGCGCCAGCCTTTAATAAGTAGGATACTAGTTAAAGACGATGATGCTATTGTTTAAATAGAAGTTAGAAGAAATACTCACCATAAGAGTTTTCACCTGAATTTGTCGTCTTTTGTTTGAGTCTGTTTGTCGTATCTATGTCCATATTTGTCAATATCCATTGGTACATACTGCAAATTATTAAAATTATACATTAAAAATAATAATTTTATTTTATGGATGCCATGCTATATATATATCAATATGTTTACTTTTATTTTTATGAACCCAACCAAATAAAAAAATATCCAAAATAAAAAACAAATGAAATATCCCCATAATAATAATAAATCAAATAGCATTTGAACGGATTCACCAGATCAAGTCAAATTTCTCTCACTTCTCAAAACTTAATTGCAAATTAAAATATGAGAGAGAATAATTAATAAATAATTAGTAAAGAATAATTCCATTCTGTGCTGTGAGATAACATTAAAGTAAATTATAAATTTGTGAGTGGTGTAATATTACATCATAAAACCATGAGAGTATTAGTGTTCTGTGACCACACCCAATGTTCTATTTACTCAAATTGCCTCAAAATGTTTGGAGCATATTTTGAGGACTCTTGCAGGTTTTATATTTTCAGTGCCTATGTTTTCCATCCGCAATTTACCGCAATTTCAATCCGACTTATTATCAAAAACACAATTATACTTCACATTTTCGATGTTCCTGAATGATTTCATTTTAATCTGACTATCAATACTTCTTCCTGGTAGCGAACTTGATACTTTGACGAGTGGAGCCAAAAAATAAAGTATCGATAAAATTTTCAAACAACCATGCTATGAACAACACTACGTTTTCATGTAAACATTGCAAATATTTACTTATTGACTATTTTACTTGTTAGTAGTAGTTAGAAGAATAAAAAATAAGCGATAACACTATATGTACAATTTCTGTTATATACACAAGTAGTATCACATACGAAAAAGTACAAAAAAAATACAAAAACTGGAACTAACCTAAAAATGTCAATCCTTCGTTGTTTTTTCTAGCATTCGAATAACATCCTGTGATGCAACACTTTCCCATGTTAATTTTTTTTTTCCATTTATCTTTACAAACACTTCAGAAATTACTAGAACACACACAATTCACTATTAAAATGAAAATAAGTTTAGAACAGCAATTATATGACAGTCGAAGTACTTATAAAAGTGTAGACCTAAAATGGCGGCATGCCATAAAATGTGCTTCAAGGCGGGGCTTAGTTACGTAACGGAAAATTAAAACAAAAATTTGAAATTCCTGACATATGCGTTAGAGTGAGAGAGATATGTTTTTGTAATTGAGGTGTATATTTGCATCATATTTGTATAACGAGAAATTGTATATGCAATAAAGGGCATATCCTCTTATATTCTTATATCAATGGTTTTCTAACAACGATGTTGACAACCGATGTCAGTTTGCGATGTTGGCAT